TCCCTACAACTGCCGCCCTGCCCATTTCCAGTCCTTCAAAAAAGGTATCATGATAGCACTTTTACTCTACCAAAAAAGAGGCTGACCCATTGGCATACTGCTTTGCTTCTAGCTTGCACTAATTGACTCCCTGTCTTGATTGAGTCCCAGACGGGTAGTTATCCACTAACTTCACTCCTCTCACTCCTCCAACAATGCCAGGGAGAACAGACGCTCTGCGATCAGTTAAGCACTGCCAATTTTATTCTCTGCCTGCCAATGTGGACTAGAAGTGCCATGGTTGCAAGACCAGGGTTGCATTATAATGCTGTCATTTGCCAATTAAATTTCAGGATCTGACTTACAATTCCAGAGCCCTGAAACTTTAAAACATATGGGGCTTCTTTAATTTATCTGGAGAGATAAAAGGAACATCTGAAATTACTTTTATTTAGAAATTTAACAAGAAATCATAAAAGAACAGATCACATACAGAAATGCAAAATGAAGATATCAATGCTAAGGCTTTGTGCAACTACACTCATTTAAAGAGAAATGTATTCAGGGTTGTCTTTTCAGATTGTCAGATTAAACAAGCCACACAGCATTTGCTGCTAACCCATAATTACAGATTATTACAGAATACAAAAGATGCCAGGCATAAAAAGCTACTACAATTCACTACACTGTAATAGAACATGCAGCGGAAGTTAATTTTGGCAAATGCTTTAAATATTAGCTTTACATAATATGTATAGGTGAGACTGTAATTAGGACAGAATGAATCCTTCGAAGCCTCTTTCATTCTGACCCAGCAGATGATTACTTTTTACTAATAAGACCACAGCCATTTGACAAAAAGCCAACTATAGTACCTTGCTTCATTCTTCAGTAAATTTAATAATTACAGCTCCTCCTGCCAATAGTTCTCAAATCAGACTTGTTCAATCCAATACTGAGCTTATTAGGGGACAGCTCTATGTTTAGAATTCTTTGGCCAAAAAAGTACTTGAGGATGATGAAGCATGCCTTAGACAAGGGCACAATGATTAGCCATTTTCTCTACATAAAAAACAGCACGTAGTCACTACAGACCACAAAATCACCTGCTGTTAGCACACAGCTGCTACAAAGAGCTTCTGCATTTATCTGGTTCTTAATACCTTTAAGGAAGCCTAAATGGAACAACTTAATATGGAGGGAGAATAGCACTACACAGAGTTTCTGGTATCAGTATTAATCTCATCTTTTTCAATTTTCTTCCCAATGTAGCCATTTGATATTTACTGGATACACTGCATAATATATGCTACTCCTCTGTAGCTTAGTTTCTTGATTCTTTATTTTGATTTTTGAGTTGTGAAGAAAATGCTAATTCCTGGGTCTCTTGAGGTTCTAAGCAGATGAAAGAAAATTTCTCTCTTTTTAGATAACTCTGTATTTTAGATAACTCTGTATTTTTAAGTAATTTTATCAAATTATGATAGGCTAAAAAAAATTGACAGGAAGCTTTCAATAGTGCAAGCTCAGACAGGAAAAAAATAAAAAAAAAACCCAAAATATTCTTAGAAAAAGGAGCAAAATTAAGAAAAAAAATAAATTAATTTACTAAAAGTAAAGTTAAAAGCAACATTTATCCATGTTGCAGTACTTAACACTTTTTGCTGATACACAGAGCACAGAAGAATCCATATCAAATTGATCTTCATGTTGTTCAGAAGATACTTATTTCAGTTAATCGAACAGTAATTACTCAAAATTATGTTAGCTCATTCCATACTAATGGTTCTTACCCAGTGTCTAGGTATAATTTAAAACTTAGGCTTTAGACAAACACTTCAATACTGGAAACCAAGATAAAATCTTTTTGAAAGAAAACGTATTTAGGCAATTTGACAAACCTTCAGTGACTGGCTGAAGTTTAGAAGACCGCTCCGAGTCTGGAGAGTGCAGTGGTTCCGGTTCCTTCAAGCTTTCTAAATGCATAAAAGGATCATAATCCACACATGCCAAATCAGAAAGGCTTAGAGGAAAATATTTAGGGTTGCTAAAACACTGAGACCCATAGACACATCCATGGAGAACCTAGAACAAAACCAGAATTTCATTACATAAACTACTGAAATTCTACTTGACTGTTTTAAAAGTAATGAAGTTTACTTTTATTTCCATTTTTCAATTGATTTGTTAGAATTGGGTATGCAGGACAAAATGTTGGAAAATTTCAGACGCTTAATATTTATAGAAACAAACCCTGGTCTGCAAATAAAATTGTTAAAACAGTGTCTAAACTGAAGTGGAATTTAACAACAAAGAAACAAGGAACAAAACTTACAACAAATCACTAAGCTACCTTTATTTTTAGATCTCCTGTCTTCTTTAATTACATACGCTAGGTCTAAGCTGCTGGAGGTTTTAATCCCCTTCCCTTGCAAAAAAACCCACCTAACCTCTCTTTGTTCTGTATCCCTACAGACAGCAATTATAACTTAGTGCTTTCTACTTTGCTTATTGCTAAATAAAATTGCTTGGTATAAAAAAGCTACTTCCTCTTCTGTCTTAAACGTACAGCTGCTAAACACATGTCTGCTACTGGTATGACATACAAAAAGTAACTTGGTTAAACATCACAAAATATAACACAAAATTAACAATTCCAAATATATCAAAGATCAAGCAGTTATAGTAAAATGTACAAGAACTAAGACAGCACACCCCATGTCAGTAGCAGAATGTAAGTCAGCTTACAGAAAAGTTCTGTCTTCATTTCCATAAAAACTGACACTACCTCCACATAGAGAAATTCACGTTTAGCAAGTAAAAGAAACAGGTACCTTATATATACAATTAAGAACGGATCTTTCAGTCTTATCATTTTCTGCTCCTGTAGTGTGAAGAGGCTGCAGCAAGGTCTTTAACGGCAAGGCCATTATCCAATCCAATAAGCACAGAAGTAAAGAAACCACCAACTGGAACAAACACCTTCAATTACAAATCAATTAAACCAGCACCTGCTACTTCACATTTATCACTGTATTTTATGTCTCTGTTTTACTTTCTTTTCTCAGTTCAGTAGAGTCAACCTTCTGCAGTAACAGCAGGTCACACTTGTTTAAAAGCCACTGTATCTTCAAATCTTACAGCATCAGTAAAAACTTTGGCTACTGAGGTATTTAACAAAGACCATCCATACAACAGTTTCTCATCACAGTAAGTCTGTGGGCAGATACTGTGCTTAAGAGGATACTCATGATTTTTCAAAATTGATTTGTAGGATGCTGTTTTTAAAATGACAGATTACACAAGTACAAATTAAGCCTGATGCACTATTCTGCACACAAACCTCACTGTAAAATGAATCAAGGATTACACAAAACTGAACTATTTCAGCTGCATTTAGTGCTTTCTAAATAACACAGAATTTCCTTCACGACATGTCAATAATGCTACACAGCATCAGGTACCATCTGAAAGAAATCCAGCTGCTTTCTGTATTGTAGGCTACTTGGTCAGCAAAAGAACCAACTCCCTCTAGGGGATGTTTTTAAAGACTGTAGAACAGAATTAGATTAAGACACATACACCCCAAATTATTAATAACTTACTGGCTTCAAATAATTATTTTTAATTTTTAGAACTTAGCTGTGGAAGAGGAAACAATTCAGATAAATACCTGCAAGATTCTCTAAAATATTTCCCAAGTTAAATAGAAGTCTTTCAAAGAAAATTCATTTAACTAATTTACTACTAAATGACATATAAACATCATATTTATTTCACATAATACATTACAAGTTTGTCTCTCAGAGGCACCATATAATAAACCTAATGATGAAGGGCTCTGAGTATTTTTATATTAAACCAATTTTTAAGAAACCCATTAGGACTAAGATTGCCAAACTAGGTAAGCCAATTTTCGATACGATATTTGCCGTACAATGATTGGCACTAGATCATGGGGAAACCTTTTCAATTATGTGAAGCATCCTCAAGTGGAAAGGTGGCCAGCTTGCATTACCACTGTAGTCTACAACAGCCCCTGACTTCTCGCAAGCAGACAGGAGAGGCGAAATGGAGCTCTGGAGGCCAAAATGAGCAACAGATGAACGCCAGCTCCTGTGGGAATGGGTGGCCCAGAACCACAGAGCTGCGAGCGACAAACTGCACGGAAGGGCCCAAGTTTAAACGACCACTGTGTCCCACAGCCCAAGAGCAAAGCCAAATAATGCAGATGAGACACAGCTTTCAGAATGTACTATGGTGAGTATCAGGTGAAGACAGAGCCTGTCTTAGCTAGGGGACTCGGACCCACTGAAAATACGAAAAGATGGCAATCGTTTTGAAGGGTGACAACAATCAAATTCATCTGAAGATTACAGGCTATCCTGCTTAAGAATGTACTTACAATAGAAAGTGCAAAAAATCATAATCAATAAATACTTTGAAAGGTATTCTTTACAAGTTGAGAATATATTTTCACTGTAAGACAAGCTTGAAAAGTCTACTTTACTTTCTTTGGTTGTAAGTTCACTGAGGATAAGGAAAGATGACTTTCTAGTTATTGAAAACAACCAATCAATCTCAGTTAATATTTTCCTACAAAAACTTCAGAAACCCACTTGCATAAGGAATATTCCTAGAATTCTGAGTAGACTATACTATACTATACTTAAAGAGCTGAATCCCCATGTTAAGGCACAGCTTAAATTTTTCAACAATGCTACGTCACATGTATTTGCAATTAAATTGACATGTTAAAAAGAAACGAAAAATGTTTACCCTCTTGTCCTGTTCATAAGAGGAAGCTTCTGTACTGGGTAGCAGATGGGTAATAGTTGCTATCAGAATCTGGGGAAAATATAACATAGTTTCTTTAAAAGTACAATTTAAATACTTAAGTTTAAAATAAATTTTTAAGCAGGTAAATGTGGCACAATACTAGATTTGTGGTTAAACTCTATTAAAGTTATTTTGAGACAAATTAAAGTGTTCCTTGCCACTCTTTGTTTTAAATACAGTCCTTTGAATTTTGCAGAAGACATTGAAGGAATACATTCTGCTTGACTGACACAGGTGCGTTACGGACAATGAAATTACACAGCCACTCCAAATATTCAGGCAGGAAGGGAACTTGATTCAACACACTTGTCGGGTGCAGAAAGGAACCTGTTGGTTTGTGTATGGTGCTATTTGAGCTCCATTATTTCCTAGAACTACTAGAATTCGTAAACACCCTGTCTCTACTTAATCAACAATATGACTGCAGAGGAGCAGAGAAATGCCTGCTATACCTCTTAAGAAGCTTCCACACAATTCTCTTTCCGGTTACCTGGGAGACCTCTATCTTTTCTCTGTGGTTCGGAGTCAGAGTCAGTCTACTTCCTCGTTATTCAAAGTGTATTCAAAATAATTATTTTTGCTTTATACCGAAATACTTTAATGCAAAATGTTTTGCATACAGCTATGCAAAATACAATTGCAGATCTGTATTTTAAGTATCACTTAATCGCGTTCTCATTAAACTTAAGTAAACATATTTGGAGATATTTAATGTTTTTAAAAAATTGGACTTTATTGGCAACATTCTTATGTAAATAGTTACATAGTTGTATCTGAGAAAAAATAAGCATGATATAGCCATTTTACACGTTACTATTGGAGTCAGCAAGTATGTGTGATGTGAACCCCTACTGTTAATGTTCAGTAAGATTATGCTTACACTAATTCAACGCTTTGTGAAACATGCTTGTCAATAGTCTGATATTTTAATTTCAGGGCAATACACTTTACTGTTTCATTTAAAATAATGAAAAATTTCAAATTTTTAAAAATTACTTACTTGAATAATTCTTAAAGGTGAATCAGCTTGATACACTTGAAGTCTATGTACATAATGTATCAGCATGTTCAGCATACTGCAGGCAACTTGGGCTACTGTTTTATTTGGAAACTAGAAAAGAGAACACAGCACAGTAATGATGACTACATGATTTCCCATAACAGTACATTAGGTGGTAAGGTGGTCAGGAATTTCAGTGATGGTTTTATACATATAGTTCCTTATGTACCTGTCTATCAGAGAAACAGAATTAAATTTTACAAAATTTAAAAGGAATTATCTCATAGTCATAACCAAATGTTAATTATGAAAAATCCTATTCTATTTCTCCAGTGAAGATGAGTGACATCAGAATTCCTGCATTATTAAAACAATAAAAAAGTAGTTTACATGTTTTAATCTCGTTTTACTTAGCAGTGAAGCTGTCACAGGTGTGTGCTGCAAGGTGGCTAACTGTCTACTTCTGAACTCAGAAAAGTGTAATTATGTTGCAGAAATACTTAAGATTTAATTTCTTGGCTTCTTAGATGGTTTTCTTAATCAGTCGAGTTCTATTAACCTTTCGGGGAAGGGTATATCTCACAAACCTTAAAAAAAAAAAAAAAGCTTTAAGAAAGCTGAAATGCCCAGGCAATGAAGCGTGAGCAGAAAATTAAGGATTTCAGAATAAAATTTTTGAATGGAAAAAATGTAAAGGTGGAAAATAGTACTGGAAGAAAACTCTGTCCTGATCAAAGAAGAGCTATCATTTTCCACATTGAACGTCTTAAAGAAAAGGTACAAGCACAAGCAACAGTACGAAGTACAAAGCTTTAATTAACATTTTTTTATTTGTGGTATCTATGTAAGCATAAAGAAAGACTATGAATGGATCTTGTAAGTCTTCTGTCAGAGACAGAAACCGGAGTACACAGGGTAGTTAATTCTTGTTCTGACTTCTTCTGTTTCTCAGTGGACGCAGTTTCACTGTGTCCCCGTACAAGCAGGATACAGATTCTAATGTTCAAGCTCAAGTGACAACAACAACAAAAAATCAAATAAAAGTGAAAGCATAAAAATTTGATTACAGAACTTGAGATCAAATCCAGATTGCGGGAAACATCCTTACAAGCTTGCAGGAAAATCCTAAAGTCACTGGAGAAGGACAAAAGGGGTGGACAAACCAGAGTAGCCTAATACGGAGTACCCAGATCTGGTTTTTAAGAAAAAATTACCTGAGAGAAAGGCCTGGAGACTTTTCAGAGTCTTTGAATAATCAGCTATTCACTACTTAAAAACAGGGAGCATTTTCTTCTTTTTATTTTTAATTTTTTTTTTTTTAAAGAGGATCATCAGGGTCTAAAATGAAGATGAGTGAATGATTTCTAGTGCTGGTTTACACAAATTAATTAACCTCTTTCTGTTCTTAATTTAAGAAAGGGAACAAAAGTCAGTGGTGACTTAAATTCCACAGAAAGGCTGAAGGGTATAAATTAATGAATATGAATAAAATTCAAATCTTATGTTCTCAGATTTTCTTATTCATGGGAAGAGCATCAGGTAGGAAGTTTTGATCAAGAATACGTGAATTGGCCCAAACAGCTCAAACACTTCATCTGCTTCTGAAATCTGCCCCAGCATGGTCAATATATCACATTTCAAAAGAATGCACAGACACATTAGAACAGACAAGTAGAGAGCTACGCGCCCTGGAAGGACATTTTCCTGAACTCAAGCAGCAACACTGAGTTTATGCTGGATAGCAAAACAATTCACCCCTTTCAAGTAAGCTGCTTTGTTCTGACTTCTTTTCCAACAGCCTTCAGACATGGCACAAAGGGAGCTGTGTGATGCTACAAACATTTCACCCACCGCTCTCTATCTCTGGAAAATGCTGTATGTTATAAAGCATAGGAATTCACTACTTTGATAATTTATATTTAGTAATGTAACTGTGGACATAATTTTTTAAGTTACTTGATGGAAAAAACAAAAAAAAGCTTCGAATGAACTGGCACACTGCCTGGTACCCAACTGTCAAGGTTTTTCTTGGAAGGATAGTCTTACCATACTTTTCGTCTTTGCAAGGGTCCGTTGCTTTCTGGATGTTATATTAGCAGTTTAACCTTGTCTGTACTTGCAAATAACCTATGTTTAGCACTCATTCAACTAAGCCTGTACAACACAATTCTGTGACATATCTGCAGCATTTCTGAGAGGAGCATAACACAATCATGAGAGAGATGCAGGGGGCTGGACGGCTGGTTAGGATCCCTCGGGCTCAGACTTCAGTAGAAGTTAACACAGATACAGCAGTATCACCACACTGCTGGGAGAAGTGCGAGCTATATTCAGAGTGAGCTGTTGGAGTGTGGTTCTGAATATGCTTCTGTATTTCAGAAACAGGTGTATAATTGTTGCTAACATTTCTATTCAATGTTACTTGGTCAATTGTACTTATCAGTAAAATGGATTAGGACTATAGCTCTCTATCCACAAATTTCTCCTGAAAATAAGAAAATAATCCATTCTGGGAGTTCAAATCTCTGACTACTTGGAAGCCAAGAGACTGCTTAGGTAACAAATTAGAGCTAATTTATTTCTCCCATGATATATTTAGGAACTTTTCATTTCGTGATTAAACTCCACTGCGAATGCATACCACTGCTCAGAACAGGGGAAAAGCCAACATGCTGCGGATGCTTTTGCCAACACAAAGCAAAGCAGGGAGAGATATAAAGATCTTTGTCTTCTCATTCAAGAAGTAATTTATGTTTAATATAAATGAGATACAAATAATTGGTTTAATAAATACGTCAAAGAAAAATAAGAGAAATCACAGTGAATGTCAGGATTAAAAATAGTTCAAACTTTGATAAATTGCAGAAGATAAAAACAGCATCGTTCGCCTAATACCAAACTTGAACAGGAACTTGATAAAATGCACTAGTTAAGGGATATTAAAAAGCAAGGGGAAAACCCTGGAAGAGAGTATTAGTGAAGCTGTAAAGGATGAATGTGATTTTGCAAAACAGGAAATTGCAATTTAGAGTCTAATACTAAAAGCCCTGCAGCTACCCATTTTAGATGTAGACTCAAATCCTGCTTCACAGGATGTGATCAGCTGATTTTGCTAAGATACTTTTCAGATTCCCGTTGCTGAAAAGAACAGTCCACATCTGACATGAGCCATATATAACAGGCGTACACCCTGATTTTTATCAACATGTATATACGGAAAGACTAGACTATCCATTGCATTTTGATGTAAAGTAAGAGCATGTAGAAAGGTTCTGTAAATAAATCAGGCAATATTTAAAAAGTTGAAGATATTGTTCACAAACATGCAATTTTGCAAAATGCTGGACAATAAAATGTTTTTAACAATATTCTGATTGTTCCATAAAATATGAACAACTATGCAAAAGATTTGCAAAAAGCAGGAAAACAAAAACACTCATCAAGGAAAAAAAAAGGTGCAGCTTTTTAACAGAGATGATTAAAAGAATATACTGTTGATATACTACCACCAATACAAAATCCCACGACCAGAGTTGAAATCCAGTAAGACTAGTTTCAGAATAGTGAAAACTGTCATAAGGAAAGGCAGGCAAATGTCAGAAAATCTCTTCTACTCAGAAGCATTTTGATAGGCATCGCACCACAATGAACTAGCTGTTTGTGAGCAAGCTGCATTTCCAGGTGAGAATCACTGTGCATACTAGCTATGTTCAACAGACACAATCAAAACAGCAAATACCAAAACAGTAAACGATCCTAAACTTCAAGAACTTAATGTGAAGGTGTTTATACAGAATTGCATGGTGACTGCCAGAGACTGTAAAGTTTTATCTCACAAATTAGCTTAAGAACCATTGTACTGGGTGTAGCGGGAAGATTTTAGTAGCGAGGGTCTGCCGGGGTGGCCTGCATGGGAAGGGGCCAGGGACCCACTGCTGTTCTTCCTCCATTCTCCCCTCTCCTGCTGGGGGTGGGCAAGCAAGTGAGCAGCTGGGTGAGAGTTTGGCTGCTAGCTGGGGCCAATCCACCACAACCATTAAAAAAGAAAAGTTAAATTCTTCTGAAAAACTATAAAATTACCCAGTGTTTCAGCATGTTTCATAAAAAAGGGGAAATACATTTTAATGATAGCCATAAAAACAGATGCTCATTACTTTTGACCAAAATTAGAGTTCTCATTATTCCCTTTCAACACTTTTATTCCCATAAACATTGATGACAACTCTTGACCTGTCTTTGCATTCATTTTTTTTCTAACAGGTACTGGCCCAAATGACACGTCCTGGAATGAGCATAGAAGAGCACTTTGCCACAGGAAATCAAACATCCGCCAGCAGCTTAAGTACTCTACAGCTATCTCTAAATATCTGGCCAGGGCTGAGAAGCAGCACTGGCTCTTGAACTCAGAAGTGAACAGGCACAGAACGTAGTGAGGATATGGGGATAATGGGACGTGGTTGGTGGGGACAAGAAGAGTGCAGATGAGCAAGAAGCACGAGAAGCTTTGGGAAACTTCTGCCTGGCCTTTGCGTTTGTCACCTTCCCGCTTGCTTCCCTGTCCCACTCTTACACTGGATGCTCCGCTCAGTCTGGCAGCCAAAGAATACAAGGCAGCAACTTGGCTTGGGACAGGCTTCTTGCACGTGATGGCAGATGGCTCACGAAACTGGGACCCCTTCTAGTTTCCTCTCTCCCCTGGCCTTTCCCTTTTGCAATGTGTCAGGAGAACATACCATGGAGGCTTTACAAGCACTATTAATCAGAGCTGGGGAACCCAGGATGCCAATTAGTGAGAAATGTGACTTTCCGTGGCATCCATCAGTAGCCTAGACAGGAGACACAAATGCTGAAGAAGGAAAGACTCTGACACTTCTGTACTCCAGAGTCTTTATACGGATCTGTATTGGGTGTACACAGCAAGGCTTTGGTAATGGAGAGGCTACAGGGGGGTCTCTGCGAGAAGAGGCTAGGGGCTGCCCCATGCCAGGCACAGCAGGTTCCAGCCAGCTCTGCAACGAACCCACCAAAGAACACAGCTGAGCCCATCTGCCATGTGTGCAGCATCTTTGTGAAAACATATTTAAGAAAGGGCAAAAATGCCACACAGGCAAAGCGGGGGGGAATAAAAAGGAACGAGAAACAGCAGGTGAACTCCAGGTGTGAGGCAGAGATTCCCTTGCAGCCTATGGAAAAGACCATATCGGAGGAGATATCCACACTGCAGCCATGAAGTACCCCACACAGCAGTACTGGATATTTCCTGAAGAAACTGCAGTCCACAGACAGCATACACTGGAGCAGGCTTGAAGGCCTGAAGGACTTTCCTGAAGGAGAATGGATTGAGAGCAGCCCTGAGGAGAAGGACTTCGGTGTGTTCGTTGCTGAGATGTTCAACATGAGCCAGCAATGTGCACTCGCAGCCCAGAAAGTCAACTGTATCCCGGGCTGCATCAAAAGAAGCGTAGCCAGCAGGTCGAGGGAGGTCATTCTTCATCTCTTCTGCTCTCGTGAAACTCCACCTGGAGTACTGCGTCCAGCTCTGGAGCCCTCAATGTAAGAAGGACTTGGACCTGTTGGAGCAGGTCCAGAGGAGGGCCACAAAGATGATCAGAGGGTTGGAGCACCTCTGCTGCGAAGACAGGCTGAAAGAGTTGGGGTTGTTCAGCCTGCAGAAGACTCCAGGGAGACCTTACAGCAGCCTTCTAGCATCTGAAGTGGGCCTACAAGAAGGCTGGAGACAGACTTTTTGCAAGGGCATGTAGTGATAGGATGAGCGTGAATGGCTTTAAACTGGAAGAGGGGAGATTCAGAATATATTTTAGGAAAAAAATTTCCACAATGAGGGTGGTGAGGCACCGTCGTGGTTCGGCCTCAGCCAGCAACAAAGAACCACGCAGCCGCTCACCCAACTCCCACAGCCGTGGAAAAAGAAATCGTCAGGGCAAAGCTCGTGGGTTAAAAGAATGCAATTTAACAGAACAGCAAAAGGAAAGATGAAAACGCGATTACAGTACCACCGGGAATCGCACCGACTGGACCCGCATCGCTGCAGCAGCCCACCCCCGAGCGGCAACTGCTCTCCTCGCCCAGGCTACCGCCTCTTATAGCCCGGGATGGGTCACGTGGGATGGAATACCCCCCCCTGCCGGCTCCGGGGGAGATTAACCCCATCCCTGCCGCAACCAAGACAGGTACTGGAACAAACTGCCCAGGGAAGTTGTGGAGGCCCCATCCCTGGATGTGTTTAAGGTCAGGCTGGGTGGGGTTTTGAGTAACTTGGTCTAATGGAAGGTGTCCCTGCCCATGGCAGGGGGATTAGAACTAGGTGATGTTTAAGGTCCCTTCCAACCTAAACCATTCTGTGATTCTGTGACTGCAGCCAGTGGAAGGACCCACACTGGAACAGGGAGGAAGGAGTGGCAGAGAGGAACTGTTATGCAACGACCGACCATAACTCCCCATTCATCCCCTCCGCACTATTTGGGAGGGGACAGGAGGAGGCAGAGGAGTTGGGAATGAAGGAGTGAAGTTTGAACCTGGGAAACTGGGAGGGCAGGGAAAGGTGGTGTTTTGAATTTTGTCTTTGTTTCTCACTGACCAAATTATTTTAACTGGCAGTAAATTACATTAATTTCCTCAAGTCAAATCTGTTTTGCCCATGGTGGTAGTTGGTAAGCAATCTCCCCATCTTCATCTTGACCCACAAAATTTTTCACCCTGTTTTCTCCTGTTGAGGAGGGGGAGTGAACGAGCAGCTGGGTGGGAGTTTGGCCCTTACCCAAGGTTAATCCACCACAGGCTCCTAGATCTGCTAACAAACAGATGCAGAAAACCCTGTTGGAAGCTTGGGTCCAGGATGTGGGAAGGGGTATAGCTCAGCAAAGTCAGACAAAGCCAGTAGTGGTTTTGCTGCAACCTGAATTGCAAGGATTATTTATAAAAGCTGGGATAATGGATAAACTACTGTGCTCCAAAGGCTCGAAGTTAGAGTGAAACGGCTAATAATATATATATTAAGATAGGGATCCACTATCTTATTCCCAGCACACCATTTCCTCCAAACTGAAATAACGGTGAAGATCTTTTTTCACAGAGTTCAGAGTTTCACCAGTTAAACTGAATTCAGTCTTTTGTATGGATTGAAAATGAGATTGTGAAGTAAGGATGCTAAAATGTGATCATGACTTTGAGAAGGCAAAGTATCTTTACATGTAAAGGCAATATACATTGTAAAAGTGTTAGTTTCTCACCTTTAGGGAAACACAAATCACATTCAATGCTTCCTTGATCTGAGGATGATGTGATTCATGAACTAGCTCCTCACAGATCCAAATGCCAAGGCTGCAAAGAGCAACACATCTGCAAAACAATGGTGGAGAACAAGTTGTTGAGAAACAGGCTATAAGAATGTGCAACTTTTATTAGATTTTAACAAGACATATCATGAATCATAAAAGTTTTTAATATTTCAGGAAGGACTACACAAAAACCTTTATAATGCTGTAACTTATTTAAAAATGAGAAAGAAATCCCAAGTACCCTGGTGAAGGCACGGGAAAAGACAGGAAGCACCCTTCTGAGCAACTGAAAAATCCAGAAGACATCAAGAACACCTGCATCTCTATGTGCTTTTTGGTTTAAAAATACTACCTGAAATCAATGTATGACATTTTTTTATATATATTTTCTTAAGAAAAACTAAAAAATGTGGTTGGAGGTTCCTCCTCCCCAACATGAGAATTTACTCATATTTGTTTAGAGCTTCTGGGACATAGAGTCAGGAGAGGGGAATGTTACTCTTTCATAGATATTTACATTTTTTTAGATTGACAATGAACAAAGATTAATAGAGGAGGGGTAAATGAAGGCAAGAGACAGTATACATATTGTGATTAAATACTTCTACTTTTGTTGTTGTTTCTCCATTTAAAATCGGGAAATAGAAAAGTGCAGACGTAAAGAGTATTTAGATAGATGTGTTCAAATCAGCAGAGATGGATGAGATTTGTTCAGAAATGTTAAGGAGCTAGCTTAAGTAATCTCTGAATCATTAGTAATTATCTTCAAGAACACAGGCTGCAAATATTTTGGAAACAACTTCAGAATTCAAAATCCTCCAGATAAAATTGGAGAGCAGTCCAAAATCGACAAGCTGAAAGTTGGTCATGGGAACTGCAAAGCATTACATCTGGGGAGGAAAAATCATATGCTAGAATAGAAACAGAAGTGGCTATGAAGCCTGTTCTGCAGAAAAATGATTTTATGGCTATGCAGAATCATGAAACTGCTAACAGTTAGCAAAAATACATCTTGGAATTAATTCTAAGTTATAGTGTAGACAAGATGTCAAACCACCCTGTTTTGTACCCTGTCACTGAAAACTCAGTTGCAACACTGCCTCCATTACATTTTGATTAATACAATTTAAGAATAAAGCAAGCTTGAGGGAGTCTAGAAAAAAAAAGTGACAAAAATAATAAACAGCTTTGGGGTATATTACATACGGAGAAAAAGTTGAAGGGTATACTGAGTCTAAACCACAATTAAGGAAGGAAATTATAAGAAACCTTCTGATGTGCAGTAAGTCACTGAAGACAAGATTTCTCCTGTATACTGGTCATTAAAACAACCTGACTGTAAAAATTAGATGAGTATTGGAACTGTCTAAGACTTTTGTAACTTTCTTCTTTGAGAAAATTTTCAGGACTGTTTAGGCAAGCTACTGCCAGGATGTTTGAAACACACTGCAGTCTCAGAGGAGGGAGAGCTCACAGACTACTCCTGGTCCCTTCCCAATCTACACTTCTGCTATTTCCACAGCTACTTCAATCCTTTTTAAACAAAAGAAAATAAGAACATAGAATAGATTTAACAATAAATGTAGACAGTTTGTGTAAGCTAAGTCAGAAAATAAACCTTTAGTACATAAAACAGTAGACTGTCCGTGTTACTACTTAAGGTTTTCTTCACACTACTGAGATCCATTCCACATCTGATGACATACTGATGTGCAAAATATCCAGGAGTCTGTGAGGTTTCTGCCAAGAACACCACTTTCACTATCACTATTCAGAGCAGTCTCTGAAAAACTGTGTCATTATGTGGCTAAAACGTTGTTATTAAAGAACTGCAGCCTTAACAGCACAAGCAGAAGAGATGAACACCGAGTTCATCAACCTATCACTTCTTTTTCAGACTGTCAGCAGCAGGAGAGGAATTTGATTAATAGTTATTAATCTTTATAGATGGAGATCTAAGAGTAGAACATATTTCAGATAACTGACTTCCCTGAAGCTCTGTTGGGTCAAGCATGTAATGAAATGCAAAACATCGACCCTCTGTGGAAGAGATAAGGAATAGAGATTTATAGCTTGGGTAACAATAACTGCACTCAGACTTGCTAGAGATATACAAAGCTGTGTACCTAAGTTCCAAGAAATCTAAGTTCTCTCCTAGGAAACTGCAAAGACAATTAAGCCTCTACCAGTAGCTGAGCTGACATGGCAAAATCATAATGCAGACCCCAAATATGACCTCTGATAGTAATCCAGGTGAACTCCCTACTGCTGTGAAGCAGCTGGTATCAGAGAAGCTATTCCCAAAAGAGACAGTGGATGAACTGCCACTGAGGAGTGAGGCAGTCAAGCTTCAGGAGCTGTGGGAACATCATTACCCCCACAATGAAGACATACCCACCTCTGTCCCAGAAGGAGGAGAGGGGCACAGGCAACCCAAAGATATGTTGGGAATCTAGTCCTTTTAAATCTTCATTTAATGTTATTACACTGTCGTGTACACACAGTGGTCCAACTCTGCATTTTGGGGGTAGCATAACTCAGCTCTGAAAGGTTGGGGATGCACATGTGCCTCTGCTCCTACGTACACACACTCTCAGCCAGACAGGGTATGGGGATGTTCCCTTCCTCTTCCCAGCCACACTGCCAGAACTGAAGATATTAATGCTGTGTGCTTCAGTGCCACAGGATCACTAATAATGTTCTGAAGCAAATGGATTTAAATCACATTTTTCAAAAGCAAAGTGGCAATTCTTATGCTTTTTAGAACTCAATTTTGTAAAAGAACATGAAAAATGAAATGAAAATCATCTCAGAACATTCATTCCTTCCCCTGTGTTAAGAGAGATTACCAGCTCAAGATCAGGTAAGCAGACTGATGAAAACTGCTCTTTGTTTTCCAGCAAAACATTTTAAGGTTCAATGAACTGATCTTTCCAGTAACATTCTTCAGGCATTTGGTTCTAGTATCTTGCCTTTGTTAAGTAACAATTTATTAGCTGAGCCTATATTGACACTCCACCCAAAGAGACAAGGCACACAAGTGTGTTCTTCCTCGGTAGGCATTACTGATTCCTTTCCAATCCCATACAAAGTACTCTATAACTGAAAGCCTCTGGGGATGGGTAAGGAGGAACAAAATCCTAAGCAAATTAAGAAGCAGAAAAGAAAACCAGCAGCTATCTTCTTTGAAGTTCTCTATTTGATGAAGACTCTTAGGTTTAAGCATCAGAGCAATTGTTCCCAGTGTAATGCTTAGCTCAGTATCTTCTGCTTCTTTTCCATACCATAAAGAGAGGCCTTTGATTATTTCTGTTTTTCAAATTAAATCATGTGGTCTAATAAAAAAACAACCATACCTCTCTCGTTAAGTAAACTTGTCCTTAATCAAACACGAAAATGCCTCTCTAGTACAGAAAATCCCTGAGCTGAACACCAGGGTAGGCTGGGAGAGCACAGAGCTTATATTCCTACCCATATCAATGCCCTTTTCTATCAGCCACTATCAGAATAAGGATACTGGGCTAGACCAGCGTTTGGTCTGACAAAAAAACATGCCTGTTCGGTTATTATCTCTATTTACGAACAATTTCACATTTACATGGCAGACCACAGTTTCGATAGTGGTACAGAAAACCACGAACAAATACATACAAACTTTTACTTTAAGCTCTTCAATATACCCAACTCAAAACAGTATAATAAAGGAAGAAATCTATTAATTTAGAAGCTCTTTTTATATGACCTACCGTGCAGGACCAGATGGCTCCTCTCTTGCTGAACTTAGCACAGTTTTAACTATGAGTTCCTAAAACAAAGAGGAAAATAGTCACTGATTTACCAATAACTCCATGACACAAAGCATCAGAAAATTAGGATTTTATTACAGCACACACAGGCATGTTGCTTAGTTGAATCTCTAGGTTTGTTGATAGACGGATTGTTTGCTTACCACTACTCCAAGCTTCTAGTCTGCCCCAGATGCTCATTATTGTGCTACCCCAAGAATATCCCACAGGTTACTGTCCTAATTTCTGCTCATTAATCATTTATCTAATTCTTGCCAATACATATCCATAAAATATCAAAAGTAAAAAAAGGAAAAACAAAAAACCTCCCTAAAGCTAGCTTCTGTGAACAGCCCTGAAGGGTATTACAGAAAGCATCTATTACTTTGAGGTTTAAACAAAATTATATTAATTTAAAAAGTCTTTGGAAGTAGTTGCAGAACAAGTGACTACAGTGCCTTAAGAATGATGTCAAGAAGAATTCTGACTCAACTGCAATGAAATGTCCATAAAGCTGTAGGTTGTCCTCAATAAAGCTCAAGTAAACAGCCATTATGCAATAAAAATGGGAAAGAAGGAATTCAAAATAAGTCCCCAAAAGGGAGCAAGGTGTAAAGCAGCTTCCTAGCGATCATATCTCTCTAAATTGAAACAGTTTGGAAACTTATGTGGAGCCTTTCTTAGACATAGTAATTATACCTGACACACATACAGCAACCAAACACATGAACTGAGCTCTGCCCAGTTTCAGTACACTGGCACACTACCCAACTCTGTGTTATGACAGAGAGGGTAAGGTCTCCATTAATCCTTACTTTTTGTCTAAAAGAACATGCTGATGTACAGAGGTTTTCTAAAGCCCCTAGGAACATGAGCAGATTTCACTAGTTGTGAATTCTCAATAAATTAAATAATGTATCTTGAACCTCTCAATCTTCTCCTGCACAGCTGATTAAGTCCATGAGACTGTAAATAGCCATAATGACAGTAGGCTTGAAAAGGTGTGATAACACATCATTTTCTTTTACAAACATATGAAAACACTTTATTAAGTTAATAGCAATTATAAAGTATGTTTAGTAGTATAACGTTTGCAAAGATTTTATGGGATCTTGAGCCTTATAATCTATTTGAAATGCTTTCTGAAAAATTTTTTAGACTAAAATTTTAGTTAATATTTTCTGGAACAACATCATATTAAACATATACTTGTTAGCTGAATACCATCCAAATATTCTTAAAATTCCTACCTTAACATCCGTAAACTGAGACACAGCAATGTCAGGAATGTTTGGATGAAGAGCTGGTAGTTCATGATATAAGTTGGGAAAACAGACTAGAGATCCTAAAAGAACTTGTGCTTCAACCCTTGGTGCCTAAAAGAAAAAAGGTGGGGAGAAATATATACTTTTACTGCAATCAGAAAGCTGACATTTCCAGCTGCCTTGAAAGAGAACAATGGCTGAAAATCTACAGAGCTATTTCCTTTCTCCTTTGGCAAACTCTCTAGAGCTGAGCAAAGTGAGACCACAGCCCCGTGGATTTCTATTTATGCACATCCCACGTTCCCATTTTCCAAGACGGTCAAAAGGAAGCAGAGGAATTGTTAGGACCACAGACAAATGACTGTGCTGCTAACTAGGCTCAGGTTTTAGGTTCCGCTAATTGAACAGGATGTGGAAAACTACTGGACATGGTGTGAGGCATTGCTGGATATGAAAGGTAATAGTGTAAGAGGCTGACAGAGGTTTCAGATAGTACCTTGAGGGAGGCTGGATTTCACAGCTGGTTAAAGGGGGAATGATGCAAGAAACAGTCAAAACTCACTGACAATTGGAGGGGAGTACTGGGGAGCTTTAAGAGAGTATAGTCATGCAAGGCCAACAGCACCTAGGTAATCATATCAGTATTACCACATAAGGCTGAAGTTGCCTGGGTAACAACGTCAGAAATACATCCTAATAGAGCAAACACTAGCAGATTTGAGTTCTCAAGTTTGACCATCAAAGTCATTGCAGAGCAGAGATATGGAGGAACAAAAATACTTTTAAAATCATGGTACAGTCAAAATGGACATTTATCTTAAAACATTTTAAACCGCAGATGAATGGCAGTCGCAATTCCAGTAACTCCTAAGAAAAAGAAAAAGCTGCTTCGATGGGAATTTTTGCATTCTTCACATATTTTCTAGAGATGACCTGCACGTGTAGCGTTCTAGAATAAACCACTGACAGTATCTGTATTTGCTAACCATTACGCTGACTTCTGGGGACAAGGACAAGTTAACACCCTAGTTAAGGAAAAATACTGCTCAGTTTTCTCTCAAACCCTTTCCACTCACAGAAATGAGAATGAACTGATGAATACTTACATTGAGGAATGAAGAAGCAGCCACCCTTCCTGCTGCTACAATGAAATCCATAATAAGCATGGTGGCACCAGGCAAACCAAGTGAAAAGAACTGAGGAGAGCAGTGCTTGATGATTGTATTGACAATATCCTTGCAGGAGGAAAAGGGAAAAAGGGAAGAGAGTAGCAACATGATGAACAATGAATGAAAAAAGGGCAGGTATTTACCAAAGGCAGGCAGTAAAAAAAGCGAGAAAGCAAATTCATTGTGGCAATTAAGATACTCGCTACTGAGCAGAGTAGCAGCATAAAAAGAAAAATTCCTTAAGTACACCCATATTAATATAAGTAAATTGTGGCATACTTTATAGATCAATTTAACCTTGGACACTATTATATGAAGTTGGTACAGGGTCACACGTTATATTCATTTACATTTAGCTTTTAGGAGTTCTATAAATGACCAACCATTCATTTAAATATGTACAGAAGAGATATAGTGAGATAATCAGCTATTATACTTTCTAAACAACATGCTTAAATCCTCTCCAACAAGTATCACCTGATTAAAATTTTAAAAAAGGTATTAACCTCTTACATATATCTGTATGGAACCAAAATATAAAGAAAGAAATAAAGTGTTTTATAACATTTCTGGTATATAGTTATTCAACACAGCATATCATGTTCTTGTAGACTTAGTGAGGCAGTTTTTAAAATTAATGTACGTGATGGAATTTCTTCAAAAGTATTGGAAAAAGTATAAAATATTTTAGTTATTACAAAACATTCCAAGTTCACAGATAGGCAAAAAAATAACACTTCTCCTCCTTTGAATCGTTTTCCAATAGTAGCGATATCCAAGTAAATGACAATATGTTATAGGAAGATTTGAAATCCAGCAAGAAAAGCAGTGTAAACTGGTTGCTAGAGGTCAGAAACGGAAGATCTGTCCTACCCATAAACAACTTTGGAATAATTTTGACTAGTTCTATTTTGCCCAGTTAATGAAAACAGGGTTGTTTGAACCTTTGGTCTCCCTAAGCCTCTAACTGCTCCTTTAAAAGTTTCACAAAACCAACTTTTTCACACTTCTGATGCAAGCCTTTAAAAAGTGTTTAAGCCATAGAATATTTTCAGACTTGTTCATATTAAAACCTATGAACTACATCTACTCCCACTGATTAGATCTACTCACTATGTATCTGTTTGCTGTCTCCTGTACTTGCTGTAGAAACAAACTACTCCAATGTAGTGAGCACAATTTACTTTCCCACTAGCTAAACTGTTGCATCAGGGAGCAAGTAAGAACAAGAGCAGACCTTAGAGAGATCTGCTTCCTTCTCTTTCTTGCATGCTTCAATCTGTAACATACAATCAGTAAAAAAACAGAGGGGTACCTTTTCTGCCTTGTATTTGCTTGAAATGAACTACAAAAAAAAGCATTTTTGATTACAACCAAGAACATGAGGGCCATTTATCAAAGTTTAGAAAAAGTATCAGTCATATAACCATTTTCAAAGACAAAGTTAAATTACTCAGCTGAAAATCCATTCCATATTTTTTATAAAACATTTTTATTTTTAGTTATAGTATTTATATTAACCTCAATTTCATAATTAAACTTACTTGATCAACATGAAGAAGTCCACAGTGCATTATATTGTAGAAATGAGTTAAAAAATCCCTGTTTGGAGAAACATCTTGTCTTCGCTTCATTGTCTTACAAATGAGTTTATAAGCATGTAGCTTTCCTTGTTTGTATTTGTCAGTCAGCATTGTTGCCTACAGTTTTAGAACAATACTTATTATTCATAAATCAAAAAATTACATTAAACACTCTTCCACAATTACATAAACTTTTATTTCTGTTTCACTGCTTTACCTTGAACAGCCATGGTGTTAAAATTCTCAGTGGTGGAATTAAAACTGGTGGAGATGGCGAAGTTAGGTTATCTGTTGAAATACCAAGATTGTCTCTTATCTGCAATTATTAAAAACAGAACAAAAAGACAAACATTTAAGGGAAACATATAAAGTGATGGGTTTTTTCCTTCTGAAAATTCTGCCTTATCAGGTCAGGCTAGAGAAGAGATTCGGTTCTTTTACCTTGGCCAGATTCTGCCACAATTCACACAAGTAATCAAAAACCTGGGCATGAATCTCTGGATCCATGATGCTGTTAACATCTCCCAAAATTCCTAGCATTCGCCTCCACATCACAGTAGCAACATCTGCGTGCCATCCTGTAAGCGTTCCCCCAGCCATCACACTGCAACATTCTGAGGGGAATTCACTGGTTTCTGTATGGGAAGAAAAAAGTACAGTGAGACCTACCTCTCCAGAGAAAGAAAAGTTCTGATATAACTATTACATACAGAGTTTTCTTAAAATCAAAAGGGGAAAGGAAAGATTAGGCTTTCAGAGTAAGATATTTCTTACCCATTCAGCCACCTCAACACTGGAAATATTTAACCATGTCTACTTTCAAACTCAGTAGAGGAAGAATTTCCTGTTTCTTCTATTCTTTCCATAAGTAACATTTAAAGTCACTTCTGGAGCCTGACTGACCTAGTAAAAGGCCACTCCTTTGGTAAGTGCCGTCTTACATTCTTTGGAGTCACTGAATCTCCAGAACTCTACTTCTCTGCTTCCAAGTAAAATTACATTTCAACTTTACATCTTTCCCCAACAGAACAGAAACATGATTTTCCTTAGAATCTACTAGGAATGTATTTTATTGCAAATCCAAGACAAAGGTGAGAGTAAACTTGTCTCTGGCTACTGTTCTTTAAGCTGTAAATCTGTATGAGTGGAGAAGCAACGACCAGTAACCTAGCGCTACAGCCTAACTCTCACCTACTTCTCTCTACACATCAGCATTATACGAATGAATGCTCTTTTTTAGGTAGGAAATGTTTAATCTAGTTTGCCCATACAGAGAAAACTTCAGTAGATTGTGATGTCTTAAGTCTACTCAGCTTGCACTCACCTAGCTAAATAGCCACACTAAACTAGCTAACAAGCCACAGTTTTAAAGCAGCAGGCATCCAGGATCTCCTTTCTGCCCCTCTGGACAGATTTTCAAAACACCTCAGGACCAGAATGTGCCGAGATCTTCTGAAAATCTCACAGTTCCTACAGGCATACAACATCAAAATGAAATCTGAATTCAGCCTAATCACGTAGCCTCTTCTTTTGAAAATCTGGACCACTGTGATAGAGACACTAATTTTTTCCAGCCTGTAGATTTCAAAGTACAAAGCAAAATGATGTTACTTCTGTCCATCAGTAGGCTACTTAAAGGAAAAGGGTCTGAAACACACATCAGACACCCCTTCCGTTTCTATGAGACCAAATATGGGAGAAATGGGAATGCCATATTTATAAAGATAGTGGAGATATTTATAAATTTGTTCAAATATGAAAGGGAAAACAACCAATATTCCAAGAAGAAATTATAACATTACTTTAAAATTATGTCTTATTACTTGTACATCAATGATAAAACAGTCTATGGCAGGACCACATACTAGATTAAGCTGCCACGACTCTAAGCATCAAAAAGAACAATTATAAATGTGTGGACTGTTAATCTACTGCTAACAGTTCCAATGAAATGCAAGACAAAATGCAAAAGGTTTTTGTTTGCTTGTAAATCACTGTAATTAAAGATTTTTAGAAGTGCAGATCAAATAGCCTTGTACAGGATTGTCTACAACTAATGTGATAGTTGTTACTTCACTATATGGCATTGGAAAGAAAGAAAGAACAGGTTTATATTTTCTATTCCAGATACTGCCTAGGTCATCTGGCGTCTGTAAAACAGAGTGGTGGAGCTTCTCATCCAGCTGCAGATCCTTCTGCTCAATATGATCTGCATGAAGAGTGGCAGGAGAGGGTGTCTGTGATCGGGATCCAAGAGCAGATTGGATTGGAGAAGCACTTTCAGAGCCTGCAAATGCAATTTTTAACAGTTACCTTAAAAGCCTTTTCTGTTTTCTTGAGCTACTGAAATGTTGTCTAAACATAGCATTAAAAGAAATCTGAACTACTTTTATATATCAAATCTGGGCAAGAAAAGATATAAAATTGTAAGCAGATCTCCCTCTGAATGGTGCTCTGAAAGAAAGTAAATTACATGCAGGAAAGCTGAGAGATGAACATCAAAATCAGATAAGTAAATGGACTAACAGAGCTCTATTTCAGGTCCAAATAATTTTAAATCTGTTTGTTCTGCAGCACTTTCAGTGTTCTGAACCAGTCAAATTTCCCTCCATACTCACTCACCTAAATTTCTCCCCACAAAGCATTTAGGCAGACATTTTCCTGGAACAACTGCTTTTCTGGGTTTATGGAGGCATGCAAGCTAATTTACAAATAAAAGCTCAAACCAGTAACTGACAATTTTTTATGTTTATCTGCCAATTGGGCTGAGAAAATCCATATGGAGGGAAAGTTCTGTCAAGTTAGAGGAATGTTATTTCCTCTAAGACAGGAAAGTACAAGTGTTTGAATGGCAGTGCCGCAAAGGCATTTTTCCATGACTATCACTGAGCAGCAACCTCTCCAGGCAACTATTTTGTCTCCTCTACTGAGAGATCTGTGGAGAGGGAGCAGGTACTTGTACTTCTCTTCTGTACTACCTTAGTTTCATTTTCCGAATTTGCCTGAAGATTATTATAAAAAGCTGAGTGCGGTCAGAACAGTCAGATGGCAGAAAAAAAGAAAACAGATATTCACCACACACTTCCCTACTCATCAGCACATGTTAAAATGGAAGAATTCAAACCTATTAATTTAAACTCTTAGATAAACGTAACTGGGACCCAAAAACGTTATAACGATATGTGAAGTTCAGTATTAGAGATAAACTGAACTTTAGCGACAGCAATGAAAAAGTGAGTCTTTTAAAACAGTAATTTTCTCAAATTATTGGCTGCGAAGTGTTCTTTCTTTTAAAGAGAACAAATTGTTTAAAGAACTTGACAGAAAATGTCAGTGTTATCACAACAGAAATTGTGGTAAACAAACTTAATTACATTGTTAAACTGCAAAGATCTCTATCTGATTTAAATGGCAAAGGCAATGAAGCTTTTACCATCAATTTAAATCACTACCTCTATGCAGGAGAGACGCACACTACTGCTTCACACGCAGACTACTTGTTCACTCAACAGGTAATGATAGTCTCCTCTCGCTACTGATCACTTGTTTTCCACATGCTCACAAAGACAATGTAAAATACACACTTAAAAGATGTTCAAAGAAATCTTTTCCTATGTCTCTTCCATTGTGCTAAGTGGGGATGGATCAAAAGAAAGAGCAAGAAAGAGTGATGGCGAGGAGAGAAAGTGAGGGAGAGTGGGATACAGACGGAAAGAGAGGGAATGAGATGGAGAGAAAGAGCAGGCAGGGGAGGGAGGGAGGGAACAGGGAAGGGAGGGAAAG